GGTCAACCACTCTTCTCCTGCAACAAGAGAGTTGAGTAGAGAATCATTGGTGATACTGTATCAGTTAAAATATTCTTTATGGCTCTATTTATACAGTATCTAAGGGGCACAGGATTTTTTTTATTGTTTTTGCTACCCTTTTTTAACTATTTAAGAGGTAAAACTGCCATATATAAAAACCTGAAGTCTGGAAGTAAATTACCTTCAAAAGGAAGAGTGGCATCAAGGGTCCAGGAACACCTTTTTCCCGATCAGTTGAATCTGGGGGATTTAAATAAAGGCAAAGAGCTGTGCATTTCAAATGTGATAACACCTTAGGAAATCTCTGCTCTTTTATACATACATAACTGAATTTGCTGTATAGCACATAAGAGCTTTCATAAGTAGATTAAGATTCTTGGTAGCATGTAGTTATGTTATAAAATTTAAGCCTTCCAAATTGAGCCCTCCAGTTATCTTCGGTTTCACCATTTATCAAGTGTGAAGCCTCCAGTTTAATACTTAAAATCTGCGCCTTCTCTCTTTGGACTCTTAAGAGACTCACTTAATCAGCCTCTGGGACATTGAACTGTAAATAGATGTAGACTACTAGCGATGCTAAATAGAAAATACATAACTTAGAGTACTTGAATAGGGATGGACTTTCTCTAGCCAGGAGCAGCTTCAGATAGGAAGAACATAAGGAGTTTCAGGAGAGGAAGAGACTTGTTGATAACAGTAGAAAAGGACTGAAATATTTTTTCTTTAAAATACTATCTACGTGCATGTTAGGAAGACTATGTAAAAAATATATTGTGTAAAGATCTAGGCTTATTTCAACTTCAGTACTTCCCAATAAATGCCATAAGTTTACAACTGCCATGATTGTTAGGACTTACTTACTGCTTTGAAGTTGATTTCTCTGATAACTTTTCAGTTGGTGAAGATGGCCAAGTGAAAATCTGGTCTAAAAGTGGAATGCTGAGATCCACGTTAGCTCAGCAAGGTAAGTTAAATTTCTTAAAGCTCAGTTAGAACTTTGAATTTGAGGCATCTAAAAAATATTTAAATAACAGACCCTAAGCCTGGTTTGGTTAATGATCTTTAGGCCCAGATAATCTTCACTAAAATTAAAGGTAAATCGTGGCATTTTTCAGCAAATATTTTCAAAGCAGGAGTTTCTCTGCAATGGAGAATAGCTTATATTATTTTTTTTGGTCTTTTTTTTGAATATCATGTCTACTATGATTTTTTTTCAAGTGATTTTTTTTTTTTTCAGGATAGAGCACAATCACCTTTTCCTACTGAGACACTAGCTACAACCTGTAGAAGTTTCTTAGTGGGCATTTGCCTTTTGTTTTGTCTTGGGCTGGATAAATTGCTAAGATGTAATGAAAATGGCAAAAATATGTATTTCATTTTTATTACTGAACTGTGATTAGCAGTCATGTTATGAGTATGAAATAGTTTGTTATAGATTCCAGTTTTCCTGTTTTTTTTAACATTTGCTTTTCAGCTGAAGTGGTTTAAATTCGATCCCTCCCTCCAAACAGTTGTTTTTATATGATGAATTTTAAGGAAAAACTGTGTAGCTTGAACTTTCAAAAAGATGATAATTTTCAAGAAAAAAAAGGTCAAATTAAATGTATTATTGCAATATTTTCAGACAACAGTTTCAGTTCCATGCTAAGGATTCTGGAGAGACTAAAGAATTAAAAAACCTCATTTTTAAATATTAAGCCACAGACTCTTACAGCAAAACTGAGGAAGAAAAAGTTACTAAGCGTATTGCAAAGATGCTTGAAAGATGCAAAATGTATATAGGTTAGTTCATCTGCCCTTTAAAACTGTTAACAGCCCTATTTAAGCCAGTAACTAATTTAATATATGCAAACAGTCTTACAGAAGTGAAACCATTCCTGTACTTCATTTCTTTGTTGAAATGGGGCTGTGGAGACCTAACCTTGATCTTGGCTTTGCAACTACAGTTCTATGCATAGTAGAACATTTCAGTTATTTTTATTAAATCAATTTAAAATTACATTATTGTAAAAATACAACAGTGCAAGCTGAAAATACGTATTTATACAAATGAAGTTTGGTATTTTTGAAATACTATTTTTTTATAATTACAATTTCTAACATTTCTGTACTATTTCAGTGCAGATTCTGAGCTAGATTTTGTTTTTCAGACTTCATACATTGAGATCATGTGACCTTTTGACATTTTTTAAGAAACCACATGCACCTGGGTTTGGGTTAAATGTCAGACCCTTATCTCTTTCTAAAACAAATTATCTAAATTCTTTCAACCTGTCGAAGGCATCTTAACCACAGGAGTGAATGTAAAATGTATTTCAATTTTGTTGAGGAAGTTCATATTCAGATGTAATATTTCTTTTCATGCTTACAATGTAAAAAGGAAAGCTAACTGAACTGTGACTTTTGGAAAAAAAAAACTTGAAGCACAAACTCACAAACTCATCTTTATTTTTCAGTTGGTATGTTTCAAGTTTTTTATGTATTTATATGCTTATTTGAGGTTTCATGTAGTTTCTAAACTAGGAGACATTCTTGTTTGAAATATGCAAGTTGAATTTCCATTGATTTGTTAGGATTTTTGGTACACTGTAAGAATTGGGTCTGCTTGAAATAATTATCTATGTATTCGTGTTTTAAGATAAGGACCTATGAAGCTCCAAAGCCCTTTAAATGTGATAGGATCAGATTCCCACAGACCATTCTGTAAGCTGCTGACATACCTAAGGTCAGAATAGGATTCTGCAGAAATGTGTATGTTGTTTAAGAGAGTTACATTGAGTTTGAGCTAATTTTTCACTTCATTATCGATAATCTTGAGGAATGCAAGGATTACCGTTGCTAACATTCTGGTCATTCCACTCTTTGTATTAGAAATAAATTTTCAGGCTCTTATCTTTGGTTGATGGTCTACGTGCCTGTTCTATCTTTGGATTTCCATTCACTAGAAAAACATGAACATATATTTTCCCCTTTTTTTAGCTTTTTTGGAACTTATACGGAGTGCTGTGGCCGCGTGGCCTTCCGTTGTGCCAATGCACGGAGTCAAGTTCGTGTGAGCCCAAGGCCTCTGCTGCATCCAGCCTTTGGCCATCGTGTGCTGCTCTCGTGGCTGTATTGCTCTTTGAGCACGAGCTCACTTTTTCACCTGTAGAGTATCTTCTTCTTCCTTTACCTTTCTGGTTACTGGAAGCAAATCCACAACATCTGGAATGGAAACAGTCTAAACACAAGGTGGTGTGAAGTAGAGCTTACTTTGTAGGGGACACACTCAAAATGTATTCAAAATGACACAAAAAATGACTCAAAATGACATATAGTGCTCCAATAGAGAGACATACATTATATGAATTAATATTTCTACTCCTGTGAAAGGGAGAAGTCTCACACAGACTTGCTGTTATAAATACCTAAGTATCTGCGGTGGCTGAAAGTGTCTGAGCAGCTGCTCCATCACTCTGGCACTCAACCTTAGCTCCTTCTCTGCTACACACATTGGCCACTGGGATGATTCACTGGGGATTAACTTCTGCAAGAAGAGCACTGAGATGTGAAGAAGCCCACCCTGTATGCTTCATGCTGATATTCCTTCTTCGGATCATCTCTCAGTCCACCTTTTCTGCTTTTATCACATCTTATGTCACAGTACTTTGTCCTCAAGCTATTTATCACCAGTACAATTCACTGCAGTTTCTGTCCTGCTGAACTTTTCTTTGCACAGCAGTGCAATGTGTTGGCAGTCTTTTCCCAACCAAGTTCTTGTTAAGTGCAGAAGGAAATGAGTTAACTTAGCTCCTGCTGTTAAGCCCTGGAAATTGTGGTTAAGTAGTCAGCCATCATAAAAAAGTTAAACATTTGGTTTAAATCTAAAAGTCTTCTGATTGTTAAATCAGCATCAGAGCAGGACAAAAATTAGTTTATTTAGAATTTCTGTGCAGCTGGTGACAGAATTTGTCATTTTAAGCATAGATTGCTGCCAGTAGGAAAATAGCTAGTGCCAGATTTGCTTAATGCATGCTGTATGTTTCTGAGTTGACGCCTATCATGGTTGACAACAGAAATTACATCATCCTATATTTCTAAGTAACATAGAATAAATGACTTCATAAAAGCAAATGCACAAGGTACAGAAATATTCAGGAACAATGACATCACTTTCAGTTTAGAGTTTTGAGCATGTGGAAGCTCGAATCAAGTTTAGTGTGTTGAATTGACGTTGCCATAATAAAACCTTTTTCTCTTCATAGAAAACATATGAAGGCTGAAATGGTAAGGTATTAGATGATTTTAGGGAAGTCAATATGTCAGTTCAATTACTTAGCTATCTAAATCTCAAAATATTCACATTAAGAGGTAATAATACCCGTCTTTTTTTTTTCCCTTTTTTTTTTTTTTTTTTTTGGAGATGGAGCATAATTGACAGAAGTAAATTTGAAAAGTTTACCGCCTAAGAGCATTTCTCAGGCATTTGTTTTTTTTTATTACCATAAATAACAGCTATACTAAAATGGTTTATTTACTCAATATTAATTCATTTGATCAATTCGATAATTAGTTATTAGCTAAAATATATATGAATCCCTACGAAGTGCAGATTTCTGAGAATTTAGGAGAATTGCTTTCTGGTTTCCTCTTCTAAAATTATGAAGTCATGAAATACAAATATTTAGCTTGTAACAACTGCTCTTTCTGAGGTTTCTTATTTCTCAGGTAGAAATTTAGGCAATCGAACTCGTCATCAAGCGGCCTCATTTCTGCCAGTGAGGATGTCGGTAGGTGAAAAACAGGCATGAATTAAGGCTTCTCTTTCCCATTTCAGAAGATACTGAAGCAAGTTTTACAAAAAGGAACAATGATCTGACAGGGACCTACTACCCAGTCCCTCTCCTTGCACTTCTGTATGCACAGTTTCCATGTCTTGTAATGTTGAGGCTGTGCTGAAACTTGCTGCTCACTGCTACAGGGCTTTTGCTGTGATAGAAACAAATGTTTGGACATGCTCTACTCAATATTTTACTTCTATTTGCAAGGAATCAAGTAGGGTAATACTTTGATTCTTCTTGAGGGGAGACTAATCCTGTCAAGTACTACGGAAAATATTTGCATAGTTGGCAAGTATTTTTTTTTTTTTTTCCTGGATGCTTTTTCAGTGCAATTTTTCACTTTCTTCTATTTTCAAAACAGGTCATTTAAAAACTGTAACATAACATGTCTGTAAAACAGAACAGTCAGTTTGATTCCAGGTATGCCATTGTGGAGCTTTCCATCTGAAAAAAAAAAAAATAATAATAAAAATTATTTGGGAAATATCTGTGAAGTCTGCAGGCCACTCTTTCTAGTTTTGTCTTTTGTCATTTGGTTTTGTAAGCTGCTTGAACGTGCAATGCTTGTTTGTTTTATAAGTGCAGCAAACAAAAAAAAAAACAGTGTTACGTTAGAGGATTCTTTATGGATCCTGGGCATCTTAAAAAATATTTTTGGTGCAATACAGAACTACCTATAGCAGTAATAATTCTGTATACATTTTTCTGTAACCCAGATGTAGCGTTGGAAAAGTCATCAATTGTTTATATATTTCTGTAAGTGTAGGTGATTTGTTCAGAGGTCAGTTTAGAGTGGTCCCACTGAACGTGGTAGGAGTTCATTCTCTCGATTGGATTTGCCAGGACTTCACTCCATGTATTTTTGTTTCCTTGAGGAGTGTGGGAAGGTTGTGCAGTGTGAGCTGAAGGTCTTCAGAGCTGGTTTTCTGAGTTGTGTCTATGTTACTGTTGCTCCTATGGCTGTCTAAAACATGAAGTGAACCAGTAAATGTGGCTGTGAGTGCAGACAGACACATGTGGAGGACAAATGGTTGCCTGTAGGCTGGCTCTCCTACTCCTGAATCTTTGATGTGTGATTTGAAGTAACCAGTTTGAAGTGGCTGTTGCAGTTTCTGCATAATTTGATCAGTTAAGTCATAAGAAATGTTTTCTTTGTGTCTACAGGAACACCGGTGTACTCAGTAGCCTGGGGACCTGATTCTGAAAAGGTTCTCTATACTTCAGGAAAGCAGCTGATTATTAAACCTCTCCAACCAAATGTTAAAGTTTTACAGGTATCATTAATACATTAAGGTCTCACTTCCCATGTGAAAACTCTTTTCAGTTATCTATAGCTTTGCCAAACATTAAAAGTTTGTGCTAAAATTTTCCAGACAGCATGCACGTGGCTCTTTTTTTCTCTCCACCTCCTATTTCAACTAAAACTTCCTTTTTTGAGAGAAAGGAGATTATTTACAAAAAGGGAAATGCTTAATCACGTGCCTGAAGAATATCCACAATAGATATTGTCAAATAATTTTTAGTTTACAGAAATGAACAAAGAGGAAGCAGAGAGATGCAGAAGCCTTTCCATTTGTTAGAAAAAAAGCTGAAAGATACAGCAGCAGTCCTCTGGAACGTTCTCTTCGTGCAGATTGTTGGGCTTTCATTCGACCTTGTTCCAGGCTGTCTTTAATTTATTCTTCTACAGAAGAGAATAAGCCCGTGCATTTGTATTGTTGGAAACCTTGATCTACACTGGAGTGTGTGAATGCTACTAAATGATGATTAATGATAAGTATTAAACACAGAAATTCTCAGATTTGTTGCATTTATGTTTTTGTTTTGTTTTTCTGTTTCAGTGGAAAGCTCACGATGGCCTTATTTTAAAAACTGACTGGAATTCAGTCAATGAACTTATTCTTTCTGCAGGTGAAGATTGTAAATACAAGGTGTGTACTGGTTAATTTTTTAGGGGAAACTAAAGTATCAAAATCATATTTCTAGGCATTCCAAAGTTTTCTAATTTTAATAACACTGAGAACCTTAAAATTAAATGAGAAGCCTTTCAGTTTTCAAGAAAAAACTTGTTACTCTATTTACATTATTTTAAGTCTCACTCTGTCTAGTAGCATAAAATTAGAACTGTGTCTGAAAAGGTATACTAGAAGAAAAATTAGTAAAATGCAATTGAAACAAACTCCTACAGGAAAATACATAGAACTATAAAAATGAGTACTTGGAGTAATATAACTTATGACGTATTTGACATATCTGAAAGGGGTAATGACAAAATTAGAGGAGATAAAGGCACTACAAATGACTTGATGCTATTAATTGTCTTCCTGGTCTCCTAGTGGTTACATTCAGTGAGAAAATCTGTTTGGTCTAGAAATTTGAGGAGTACCTTGCATTTTTGGGAAGCAAGTGCAAATAAAATAAACCTTGTCGTTATGTTACAGACTTACAGTAAAGTACGGGAAACAAAACTCATTATTTCAAAATATTTTATATGGAGAACAATGTAGTATTTGCCATAGCAGCAAAGTCAAGTGCATTGCATTAAACTAACCTGTATTGATTAAGAACAGCCTTTAGTGAAAGATGAACTATAATATGATGTGTGATTTTTTTTTCCAGTTACACAAAATTACGCTAAAGTAACTTGGAGACTGTATTTCTGTAACTTTTGTAATCATGAGGGGAAATGAGAGCTCTAGAATAAGTAAAGGTGCACTCGAAGTGTGGCTCATATACATTTATTTAATATTTTTTTAAGGTATGGGACAGTTATGGACATCTACTGTATAGCTCACAGCCCCATGAATATCCTATAACATCCATTGCCTGGTCTGGGGATGGAGAATTATTTGCTGTGGGGTCTTTTCATACTTTACGTCTATGTGATAAAACTGGGGTAAGTAATAATGCCTGAGAAACTGGCAGGATGTAGAACTGTGCAATATTTATTGATAATACTGTAAATATTCCTGGGGATATACTTCTCGATCTGCCTAGCTGCACATCTAAATATGTTCTGGTAGGTAAAAATTCTTTAAATAATTTGAAGATTTAAATAAATATTTAAAGAAAGATTTAAATAAATCTTTCAGGGCATTACACTTTTTTCGTTTTTGTTTGCTTGTTTCTTTGTTTGCTTGCTTTAAAAAAAAATCCTTTAAAACTGTAAAAATTTATAAGCATATCCTGTAAGACTATAATGAAATGCTCTTAACTGAAAAAAGCAAGTAGTGTATGACAATAAACTATCTTAAAAAAGGAGATAAAAGAACAATGTCCATGGGGAAAAAATGCAAGAGTAAAATTTCCTATGCATATATTATTTAGCTTATTTTTCCTTAAAATATTCCAAGAGTTGATGGGCACATTTTGTAAGATCACAAAATGCAATTGTCAGACATCCGAAATAATAAGGCTAAGGCCATAGTAAAAGAAGAGCTAAGAGAACATTCATGCTTTTGTTTCTGATGTAGGGACGGGGCATAATTATTCTAGCTAAGACATAGTTTAATCCTCTCATCTGAGCTTCTCTATTACTCCCTAAGTGTAGAATAACTCTAGCAGAAGAAAGACGCACCTAAAGGAGACACCTCTCATTTTGTCGTCGTCGTTTGCTTTTATTTTTTGACTTGCAGCTTTACTCCAAGTTTGCTGTTGCTGACCTAGTATTTTTTTTTCTTCCAACTTGGTCTCCAATTAAAATTAATGTGGTTTCATCTGCCTTCGCTGGTATTCTAAAAAAGTTAGCCCAAAGCACAGATTGACCTGATTGTCTCTGTGGATTTCCTGTGGTTCTGCATCTTTTTGTTCAGGCTCGAATTGCATCAAACCTTGCCGGTTTGGGACTTTCATTGACCCATTCTCTACCTCTTTTGTTGTTGCATTCATTGCAGTTTTGCTCAGGTTGGGAAAGCAGCGTTTGCTGTGGTGTCTGGGGGCATCCTCGGTACTTTGGGTTTTTCCCTACTGTGAATTGGGACGGCACGTTTCAGGTAGCTTTACATTCATAAGAATAGCCTCTAAAAATTGTGTGAGAAGAGGCATGCAGGGTACGATCGCTGAGTCTTCATATTTCGCTTTCTGTACTGATTCTGATTTTGGTAATCTTCCCTGAAAAAAATAAATGTAATTGAGGCCTTTAAATTTGAAGTGGGGATTGCTTCAATTTTCTGTGCCTTTCCCTCTTGCTGTGAGAAATTCCTCATGCTACTTAATCTGTATAAGTAAAGTTTGTGTGTAGTTGTCTTGAAGGAAAAGAAAACACCTCACATGCAATTTTCTTTTGGAAAGCATTACTCTGCAGATTTTTTTTATAGTCTGCTTTATTTAGATATGTGAATTTTTCAGATATGTGTGTTAAGGAGATTTTTTTTATTACCCATGTGTTACAAACACAGTAGAAAGTTCAGGAGAGTAAAGTTGAGTTGGAGCTTTATTAACTTGTGCAAACGAGAACAGGTACCTTTCACATAGGTTTAAAAAAAATACTGAAGTAAAAGATATAGAAGTAAAAAATATATTTCCTGTCTCTTTTTGGTATGTGTTTTGAGAACAAATATACTGTGAGAAGTTTCCTTTTATCACCTCGCATTTCATGTGGATTATACAAAGAGAAAATGCACATTAACCAATGCAAGCATTATTTGTTACAACAGATTACAATTTCCATCTTGTAATGCGTTTCATCATTGAAAGTTTTATTTTAAAAGCAGACATATCTTACTGTTAGATTTTTCTGCCTTTGTTTTGTTCAGAATTAAATCCTGCATCTCTCTGAATAAAATGGATAAATAGTCTGTGCGTGCAATCACAATGATTGTGTGGTCACCACTCAATTCTCAGATGGTGGGACATGCAGATAGCTGCTCACAGTCTATATCGCCAGTGGGGACATCATTTCTTCTCCCTGGCATCCTTCTGGTTGGGTTAATGTTAGGCGTGGAGGGTGTGTCATTGTCTTTTTGATTGCCCCCAAACTTTTTTTCCTAGGCAAAGTGGATAAGAGGATTTTCCTCCATTTAGTATGCCATGTAACTCCATTTAAGATGTAATTAAAGCAGTAACCTGCTCTGTTGCCTTTCCATCTCCCTATATAAATTTGTCATTGTAGAAGTGTTTATACACATCTAGCATATTTTACAGCCAAATAAGTTGTATTAATACTAGTATAATTACATCTGTGTTGGACTACGTTATGTAATACAGTGCTTTCAACAACCAGCCTAGCCATTACCACCAGTATTCTTCCTCAAAGAGCAATCTAAACCATGCTCTCTTCTTCCACAACCGCTTTCTGCCTCCCTCCTGAGTACTGGGATTATGGAGCTATATTAGCAAATGCTAAACAGAAATAAATATGCTCTTGTGTGGGTGATGCCAACAATTTAAATAACATTTTGTTATAACTCAGTATAGATTTCAGTTTAATGTGGCAAAGACTGATG